TCTTCCCATCAGACCCCCATCTTTTCCACATGCAACCCCCACAATACTCAATTTCCAATCCTCAGACCCTTCAATCAGTGTTAAGCTCCCAGATCATCTATCTAGAAATCTGAATTTTGCTTCCATACAATCTTTCTCTGGACAGATTAGGGCTTCAATTTTTCCTTATACATTCAAGTTCTTGATTTATTGCTGAATTGTTTGTCCTGCTTCTGCAATAGGTTTTTCACTCATGCAAGGAAGCAAATGGAGTATTAGACCAACAAATGTGAAAAATGCAGAGTAGAGATTTAAATATGAAACACCATGGCAATGTATTACCTACAAACTCCCACCAAAACAACTCAACATCTAAATCCAAAGATAATGAATTGGTCAAAATGTCAGAGAAAGAATTCAGAAGTCTACCATTAAAAATGATTAGAGACCTTAAAGAAGACACAAATATACAGATAAATGATGTTAGGAAATTAATCCAAGACCTAGACAAAAAGTCAACATTACAAAGAGAAATTTAGAAAGGAAAGGGAAATTGTGAAAAATAAAAGTGGAAATGTTAGAAATGAACACCTCAATAAATCAAATACAACTACAATGGATAGTATTATATACAGACAAGATCAATCAGAAGAATACAAGAGATGGAGGACAAGACTGAGGAGCTATTGCATACAAACAATCAAGAACTCTGGTACACAATCAAAAGAACAAGCCTAAGAATTCACAGGATAGAAGAAAGAGCTGAAGTACAAACTAAAGGCATAAGAAATATATTCAATGAACTCATAGCAAAAAATGTCCCAAATCTATATAACAATATATACACAAATTTACAGGAGCCATAATCAGAAAAGAACTATACCATGGCACATCTTAATTAAAATGTCAAATCTAGAAAAGAAAGAAAGGATATTGAAAATTTCAAGAGAAAATGGCAGCTCAAATAAAAGATAAATACATAAGAATTACCTCAGACCTCTCAGCACAAACCCTAAAAGCCAGGAAAGTATGAAGCAATATAATTCAAACTCTGAGAGTAACTGTCAACCAAGAATATTTTATCCAGCAAAGTTGTCCTTGATGGAGAAATACAGACCTTCCAGATAAGGACAAGCTAAAGTAGTTCATGTCTACCAAGACTGCATTACAAAGAATGCTCAAAGGAGTAACACCCATGGAAGAAAATAAAAAACAATCACAACTCTAGAGGCTACGAAAGAATAAAATTCAAGGGAAATTGATGAATCGACAAGAGCTGAGAAAACAGCAAGCATGATCAACTCAGAAACCCAGCAAAATCTGATGTTAAGCAAAGCCAAAAAGTAAAGAACAACCAACAGATGACTCAATCTGGAAAAAAAGCAATAGAAACACAGGAATCAGTAAACACCTCTCAATCATAACCTAGATGTAAATGGACTTAACCCTCCAACCAAAAATCACATATTTTCAGAGTGGATCAAAAAGCAAGATACAACAATCTGTTATCCATAAGAAACACACTTCACAACCAATGATACACACAAACTAAAAAGAAAAGGCTGGAGAAAAATTTACCAGGTATGTGGCATGTGTAAATCAAAAGCAAGCAGGAGTAGTTATTTTCATAGCAGACAAAGCATATTTTTTTGCAAAAATCAGTCAAAAGAGATAAAGAAGGTCACTACACATTAATAAAGGGAACAATAGGGCAAGAAGATATAACAGTTCTAAGTGTATATGCACCCATCATCTGAGTCCCCATGCTCAGAATACAATCACTTCTCGGCTTAAAGGAACAGAAAAGACCAGGTACAATAACTGTGGGAGATCTCAACATCCAACAGTTCAAAACACAAAACATTCATACAAAAGGTCAAACAAAGATATCCTAGAACTATATAATACCATGGATGATCACACCTGTAATCCTAGTTACTTAGGAGACAGAGATCAGGAGAATCACAGTTTGAATCCAGCCTAGGCAAATAGTTTGTAAGACACTATCTTGAAAAAACCCATCACAAAAATAGGGTTGGTGGAGTGGCTCAAGGTGTAGGCCCTGAGTTCAAAACCCAGTGTCACATTAAAAAAAAAATACCATGGACAAAATGGATTTAACAGACATTTATAGATTATTTCATAGTATGACAGCAGATTACATATTTTTCTCAGCAGCAAATGGAACTTTTTCCCAAATAAACCACATCCTAGGTCATGAAGCAAACCTCAACAAACAGAAAAAATAAAAAATAAAATAATCACTTGTATTTGACCAGACCACAATGGAACAAAACTAGAAATCAATAGAAAGGAAAACCAACATTCAACACACTTTTGAACAATCAATGGGTCATTCAAGAAATTACAAAACGCCTAGATTAAATAAAAGATGAAGACATAAGTCTTCAGAAAACTAGAACGATCTCAGATAAATATCTGATGATACATCTCAGACTCATAAAAAACCAAGAGCATGCCAACCTCCAAAGTAAGAGATAGAAAGAGACTATAAAAATCAGAGCAGAAATCAATGAATTAGAGATCAAAAAAGAAAAATTACAACGAATCAATGAAACAAAAAGCTGGTTCCTTGAAAAAAATAAATAAAATCAACAAACCTCAAGCCAATTTAACTAAAAGAAGAAACAAGAAACCTCAAGCCAATTTAACTAAAAGAAGAAACATTTTGTTAGTTTAAACTAACAAAATCAGAGATGAGGAAAGGAGTATTACAACAGTCACCAATGAAATTCAAATGATCATACAGGAATACTTTAAATAACTATACTTCTGCAAACTACAAAATGAGAAAGAAACACATAAATTTCTTGACACAAATTACTCACCAAAATTGAACCAAGGTGGTCATTAAAAACACACCGATCTATAATAAGCAATGAGATGGAGACAGTTAAAAAGACCCTCCCAACAAAAAAAAGTCCAGGTTCTGATGGATTCACTGCTGAAATCTACCAGACATTTAAAGAATATCTAACACTACTATTTCTCAAATTCCTCTATAAAGTACAAAAGGAAGGAATACTACCAAACACATTCTACAAAGCTAGTTTTATGCTAATACCAAAGTCAGGTAAAGGCAAATCTAAAAAAGAAAGTTTTAGGTCAATATCCCTGATGAACATAGATTTGAAAATCATAATAAAATATTTGCTAACAGCATCCAATAAAATATTAAAAAGCTCATGCACCATGATCAAGTATGTTTCATTCTAGGGATGCAAGAATGGTACAATATTGGTCAATCAGTAAATATAATACAACACATAAACAGAATCAAGGTCAAAAGCTACATCATCATATAATACATGCAGAAAAAGCCTTCAACAAAATTCAATATCCTTTCCTGACAAAGCTTGGGAAAACGAAATAAAAGGCACATTCCTCATCATTATAAAAGCTGCATATGACAAGCCTATAGCCAACATCATACTAAATAGAGAAAAACAGAAACCATTTCCTCTAGAATCAGGAATGAGGAAAGGGTGTCCACAACTTTCCAGTCTTATTCAACAAAGTGTTGGAATTCCTAGTGAAAGCAGTAAGATAGGAAAAAGAAATACCAGGGATTCAAATAGGGAAGGAATTAATTGTCCCTATTTGCAGACAATATGATCCTATAATTAAAAGACCCAAAACCTCAACCCTAAACTGTTAGAGCTCATAAACACTTTCAGCAAAGTAGCAGGATACAAAATATATACACAGAAATCAGTAGCATTTCTATTCACAAACAATGAACAGGCGGAGAAAGAAATCAGAAAAACAATATCACTCACAATAGCTTCAAAAAACCTATGCAATGAAAATTACAAATAACTAAAGAAAGAAATCAATGAGGACATCAGAGGTGGAAGGAAAAAAAGAAAGAAGGTGGAAGGACATCCCATGGTCGTGGATCGGTAGGTGCAATATTGTGAAAATGGCTATTCTACTGAAAGCAATGTATATGTTCAATGCAATCTGTACCAAAATTCTAATGACATTCTTCATCAAAATGGAAAACTCAATCTTAAAGTTCAAATGGAAGCACAATAGACCACAAATATCCAAAGCAATCCTGAGGCAAAACAACAATGCTGGAGGTAACACAATACTGGACTTTAAACTATCATACAGAGACATAGTAATAAAAACAGCATGATACTGGCATAAAAACAGATAAGAAGACCAATGGAACAGACTAAAAGGCCCAGATACAAACCCATGCAACTACAGCCATCTGATTTTCAACAAAGGTGCCTGAAAGGTGTTGGAGAAAATATGGCCTCTTCAACAAATGGCGCTGGGAAAATTGGATTTCTACCTGTGAAAGACTGAAACTACACTTAGATTCCATCCCAGTCAAAATGGCTCTCATCAAGAACACAAACAACAACAAATGCTGACAAGGATGTGGGGAAAAAGGAACCCTTCAACACTGTTGGTGGGAATATAAATTAATGCAACCACTATGGAAAGTCATATGGAGGTTCCTCAAAAAACTAAGCGTAGAACTAGTGTAAGATCCAGCAATGCTACTTCCAGGAGTGGTATTTACGAGGAGTGTGCTGCAGGATATGATAGAGGCACCTGCACACCCATGTTCATTGCAGTGCTACTTACAATAGCCAAGCTTTGGAAGCATACAGATGCCCCATGACTGACGAATGGATTAAGAAAATGTCGTATATATGCACAGTGGAGTTTTATTCCACTTTAAAGAATACACTTATGTTGTTTGCAGGGAAGTGGATGGAATGGGAGAACTTTATGTTAAGCGAAGTAAACCAAGCTCAAAAAGTTAAAGGGCACAAGTTTTCCCTCGTACGTGGAAGCTAGAACTGTAAGTTAAATGCATATATAATTACATAAATAATCTCATGTAATATGCATATAATTTGTATGGGCAATAGGAATTATTTTAATAACACCTCTGCTAAAATACATTAAACAAAAATATACATAAAATATAAGCATGTAAATGTACATATTATATATATATATATAATTCATCTTACTGATTTCAGCAGCTATAACAGTAAGATTGTGCCACTGAGATAGTTCACGGTCAAGTGGTTTTGATGTATAAAGCGATCCATTTCCAGAATGTATGTTAAAGATCCTGTCAAGGTCAGTATGGCGATCCAAAGAAAATCTGAACATAGAAGGCAAAGAAAAATACATGACAATATTAATGGTGGTTTTCAGGAGAAAATAGTAAAAGGCAAAGACACACACTTTACTAACAAGTACAAGAAAGAGCACAATACTGATCTTGAATGTAGATGGTTCATGGTTTGTCACAAACACCCTCACCCTCTCCAAAGTATGAACAGGCACTGTGTTCTGAATGCAAATAAACGCTAGTCTTCCAAATGTCTGTGTTATTTGAATCATTGCCTATTGCTATATGCAGTGAGCTAACTATGATGTATTTTGTTCCAAAATAGTATGTATATCATGAAGTTAAATTATTTTGCAATTAAGGGTTTTGAGGAACTACTAGTAACTATTGCAAAACATCAAAATCAGGAGCTCAGGGTTTTTCTTAATGAAAAAACTGGGGACAATGTTGGTTTTAAGTAGTGAGGTCATCAGCTTACCAGGCTTTGCAGTTTCAAGTATAATATCCATGCAGCTTCAGTTTCCTAACCACATATGTCATTATAATATCTACAACTTTTACTAGATATCTTTTAAAAAGAATATGCTTCAGGATAAGAACCTTTTGTACATCTGTATCAACAATCCATTTATTTAAAAAAACTGATAATTGATTGCTGGCAATGTGCTGTATATCATTTTGAAGTATAATATCAGGTTTATCAATATGGATGGTGTAGTTGGGATAAATCAAATTATCTCTATCAAACTGCATGTTTTACCATTCACAAATAAAGCAATCACTGTAGCCCTCTGTATCTGGAACAATTTTCAAATTAAGAAACAACTTACTACTGAAAGGCCAACATAAATTTTCCCTCCTCCTTAGAGCTGTCCATGATTACATAAAGTAGAAGTTAACTGTCCCTTAAAACACTTGTACCACTCCTTTTCACTATTATGATGGCGTATTTGAAATTTGTTTTATCACAAATTTAAAACAGAAAATAAAACTTGAAATACCAAGCTCACTACTTACTACGGTACTCTAGTGGGCACTCAATGATTCTCATTCTGGAACTTCTTCCCTATCAGAATTAAAACTTCTTGAGAAAAATATTCCTGTCTGATACAGTGATCCACCACTATTGATGCATGAAAGAAAACCTTACTGAATTATTTGGCATTTTGGCAACTAGAAAGGTCTTTTATTTCTGTAGAAATACAGCATGAAGTTGCAACATGTAAATTAATACACAGTCTCTGTTCTCATGCATCACCAACTTTGCCAAATCCATTTTATGTGTGTTCTTAATTATTTCCTATAATAATGACAAAATTTGGAGGGTTATGTGACATTATCTTGAAGATAAAGAGAGATCATAGCTCTTCATTTTCAAATATGATTTTCTTATACTCTATTGTCAAATTATGTGTGCTAGCTTTCATTTTCATTTTTGAAATCAATTTCAAAATACACTTTAAAGTAAATTCTGTGATTATTGCATAAACATTCACAAAATGACATAATTTATAGTACATTCAGTACAATTTGTCCAATACATATATTGCACTAGTAAAAGCTACTTTATTTCTTTGAATATATATAATAATTTTTTGGTATCCATTGAGGATTTTTTCCAGGCCCTCTGTGAATACCAAAGTCCTCACAGTCTTTATATAAAGTGGCATAGCTATTGCATATAACCTATATGTACAACCTCCTGCACACTTTTAGCCATCTCTAGATTGCTTATAATACCTAATATAATATAAATGCTATTTAAATACTTATTAAATTGCACTGTTTAGGGAAAAATAAAATGAAAATTTTCTGTACCTGTTCAGTACACAGTACTTTTTTTTCAAAAAATTTCCACTGCTGTGTGTTGATTGAACTGACAGATGAAGGACCCACAAATATAGAGGACAGACTGTGCATGCAGTCACACATGTGTGATAGTTCTATTTTGCAATATAATGCACATATTATATGTCTACATGTTCTATCAAAACAATAACATTTAAGAATATTCATTTGCATTTTCTATAACAAGATACTATAAAGTTGAAATATACTACGAGGTTTTTATGGCATAAGCTCTGTTGTCTATAAGGAAAAAACCATAAGTTCTATTGCACCCTGGCTGTGTAAATGCACTCTTTCTGATCCTTAGACCTGTATACTCATAAAACACTTTTATTTCATTTTTAAATATCCAAAAATATATTTTTTATATATAAGAACAATCAGTCTATATGAGTATGAAGAATCAATTTCATTTTGTGGAGAGATACCTCAGTATTGTGACTTAGTATGACTTGATTTAAATTTATCTCACCAAAAAATATTATATATCATTTTTGAAAGATGGTTTTGAAATCAGGAACCCAGACCACAGTTTGCATAAGTTCGAATCACTGTCAAGGATAAGCTTGGCAAATGTTTAATGGGGAAAAATAGGCATGTATATAGGTTATTTAAAAGTTTTAAAGGAAAAAATGCAAGGAATGTAGCAATTAGATGTAGATAAATGAATTAGAGAGGAGGCATTTACAGTGAAGTCCTGGTGGCAGAGGGAGCACTGTGTGACTACCACAGGGGTTTTATCTGCTAATACATAACCTGTATTGCTGTGCAAGAATATAAGAAAATATGTTTTTTGGAAAACTATGTGAGTAAAAGTATACATATACACATATATTACTCTTTACATAGTGTGACTTCATTTGAAAATTGGTAGAACTATAGAATTTTTGACTTGAGTCTTGCTGGAGTACATAGCACATGAAATTGAAAGTTCTACAAATTATGCAGCTGCACAAATCCTGAGTTAACTCCAAAATGACACAAACATTTAGATTCGCACTTGAATTGTTCATACAGATGCAAAATCAGCCTGTTGAGAACAAGTAAACAAATTCAAATATCATGGACTAGTAGACTAACGTAAATAATCATTTGATAATGAATATCAAATATAGACATTTGTATTTCTCTAATATATCAGTGCAAATGTCAAGGAAAATTTGAATCTTTCTCATCTCTATGTGTCTATGAAGTCTCATATGTTTTAGGTTGCCATAAGAAAGAAAATTTTAAAATGCGGAAAGAACTCTAATCTTTCTGGATGACCAATATTTTTAAATTGTTAAAAATTCAACAATCACAAAACTGAGTGTCAAGACTGAAATTAAGAAATGGGCAAGTGAACTAAACAAAACTTTCTCAAAAGAAGAAATTCAAATGGCCAAAACACATGAAAAAATGCTCACCATCTCTAGCAATAAAGGAAATGCAAATTAAAACCACACTAAGATTCCACCTCACCCCTGTTAGAATAGCCATCATCAGCAACACCACCAACAACAGGTGTTGGTGAGGATGTGGGGAAAAAGGAACCCTCTTACACTGTTGGTGGGAATGTAACTAGTACAACCACTCTGGAAAAAATTTGGAGGCTACTTAAAAAGCTAGACATTGATCTACCATTTGATCCAGCAATACCACTCTTGGGGATATACCCAAAAAACTGCGACACAGGTTACTCCAGAGGCACCTGCACACCCATGTTTATTGCGGCACTATTCACAATAGCCAAGTTATGGAAACAGCCAAGATGGCCCACTACTGACGAATGGATTAAGAAAATGTGGTATCTATACACAATGGAATTTTATGCAGCCATGAAGGAGAACGAAATGTTATCATTCGCTGGTAAATGGATGGAATTGGAGAACATCATTCTGAGTGAGGTTAGCCTGGCCCAAAAGACCAAAAAATTGTATGAGCTCCCTCATATGTGGACATTAGATCAAGGGCAAACACAACAATGGGATTGGACTTTGAGCACATGATAAAAGCGAGAGCACACAAGGGATGGGTGAGGATAGGTAAGACACCTAAAAAATTAGCTAGCATTTGTTGCCCTCAACGCAGAGAAACTAAAGCAGATACCTTAAAAGCAACTGAGGCCAATAGGAAAAGGGAACAGGTACTACAGAAAGTTAGTTCAAGAAGAATTAACCTAGAAGGTAACACCCAGCACAGGAAATCAATGTGAGTCAATGCCCTGTATAGCTATCCTTATCTCAACCAGCAAAAACCCTTGTTCCTTCCTATTATTGCTATACCTCTCTCTACAACAAAATTAGAAATAAGGGCAAAATAGTTTCTGCTGGGTATTGAGGGGGGTTGAGGGAGGGGCGAGGGTGGTAAGGGAGGGGTGGGGCAAGGGGGAGAAATGAACCAAGCCTTGTATGCACATATGAATAATAAAAGAAAAAAAAACTGTACTTACATGTGACAGGCAAAAAAGAGAAAAAAAAATTAGAAATAAGGGCGAAATAGTTTCTGCTGGGTATTGAGGGGGTAGGGGGGAGAGGGTTGGGGCGGAGTGGATGGTAAGGGAGGGGGTGGGGGCAGGGGGGAGAAATGACCCAAGCCTTGTATGCACATATGAATAATAAAAGAAAAAAAAAAGACTGAAATTAAATGTCTGTTTTTCGATGACTAGAATGTAAATGGAGCTTCTAAAATCACAAAGTAACTGTTCCAGATTTTAATTATATTTTCAATGCTTTTAAATTTCTCTCAACCTCACATACTACATAATAGCTTGGAAACATAAATATAGTGACTTGATTGCTGTTTAAATATACACCTGACAAAGTGTCCTTGATCTGTACCAGGGGTCAGAGCAATAGTACAAACACAGTATAAACCTTGGGTATTCTCCGCTCCAAAACATTCAAAGAACGTTTACCTTAAACAGAATTTCATGATTTCTATATGCATTTCAATTCCCTTTCTTTTCATAGTTACCTAATGGGGCTGGAAGTAGAATCTGGGTCCCTCGCCATTACGGTGCCGATGATTGTGCCCACTTCGATATCTTCATGAACCTCAAACAGGTAGGACGATCTGCTGAAAACGGGAGGCTCATCCACATCTTCTATAGAGATTTTCACAATTGTAGTATCTTTAAATGGTCCTAGGTAATAAAAACGTGGATCCACATGGGTGTTTTCTGCTTCAACCTTCAGAGTATAAAGTCTGCGACTTTCGTAGTCAAGTGGCTGTATGAAGACATAAATAATCAAATTAGGGTGAGAAACACTGGATGACATGCTCCCTCCAGGTTACAGTATGACTTAAACACTAGCTGAGCTCTGTTAAGGTGTTCATTAATTGCAATAATATGAAGTAATACAAATAATACAAGTAAAAAGTAATCTTTACTTATCATTTAGAATTCTAGTTTTAAAATGTAATATGTTATATTTACAAATATAGGAAAATGAACTTTTAAATTCTTGAAAACATTGGATGGAAATTTAAGAGTATCTCATAGGATGGAGACTTCTTACAAAAAATAGCCTGGTGGATTGTATATTTGTGTGTGTACTAGTGTGAGCAAAGGTATTTTACTATGGTAAAATTTTAGAAAAATTTAATTATTTCTGTAAAATTTCAGTGATTTAAAAATTATATTGTAATGTTTTCACTTGGTATCATGGGCTCATGGAACTATTATCAACTTTATGAAGTTTTGAAGACTAATATAAAATTTTTAGTAGTTATATCAAATATTCAAGACAAGGAATGTCTTATGTAAATCATGAAAAACTAGAAAAACATTCACAGCAATTTGGTTATTAGGGTATATTATAAAACTAAAAGAACACTTTAAATGTCGATGTAATATTTAACTGTCACAAGTTAAAACCAAGTCCCTTCACCTCACATTCACTGTAAAAGTTATGTTTATTAACATTCTTGATTCAGATTTCTTCAGTCTTCTTGCTCACTCTCAGAAGCACAAGATTCTGTTTGCATTGCCCCTACTTCCTGGTTATGAGAGAAAAGAATGGCTCTCTCCTCTTTGCTGGTCACTCTCTAAGTGATGATGGTGGTGCCTTGAATGGTGCAAGAGGCTCTCAGGATAGCTATACTATTAAACAGTGCTTCAGAGGATACTTTATGCATGACATTTCATATGACCTGCATTTTAATATGCCTTACTTTTCTCATAATGACTCTACAATAAAATTGGTTACCTTTAAATTGTATCACTGAACATATGTTAGTAGAAAAGTTTAATTTACATAGCAGAAGGGAAAATGTGAACAATTAAATTATGTTCCAACACATTCTGTCTCTTATTATTAGCAACTCTAATTATTGCTTCATACATCTGGATGGCATGCTACTTCTTACACCTCCAACTGTGATTATATATTGCCATTATTAGCTATCACAATTTTTAAAAGAAAACAATGTTATTATGGTGGGTTTTTATTAACAGGTCTCAGAAATATAATTAAACATACATTAACTTGCCTCTTAATTATTTAAAAATCTCAGGTTTCCTGTTTCAATCAACAGAAACTCAGTCAAATGTCTAAGGAGTTCCTTGGTTTCATCTTCTTATTTATGTATAATATAAGTTACATTTGAACATGATAGTAGTATTTCTTTTCATAGATAATACATGGGTGAATACTACATAGTGAAATCTCTACTCTCTAACACAGAGATGCTTATTTATGCTGAAACTAAGCACCTTTTTCACAGTTATGATGCCTTCCTGTGTGTCCTTCTCAGTCATAATGTCAAACATATCAGTCCCATCTCCATCAATAATTCGGTATTCTACTTCAGCATTTTTTCCAGTGTCAGCATCTGTTGCTTTTACACTTCCAACAGCTGTGCCAATTGGGGAGGATTCAAGAACCCGAAGATGGATTGTATCTGTAAAGAATAAAGAAAAGAATGGATACATATAAAGAGATTTCTCAACAGAATATCCAAAAGTACAATGTGTCAAATATTGTAATCTTAAATTTTACATGCTGATTAATTAAATATATTGATATCTAATATGAATAATAACAAAGGCAAAGAGAAAAAAATAGTGGAACTTTGAAGGCTCTGTTCTGTACATATCAGTATGAATAGTACCAGCCTCTAAGAGTATCAGTAATTCTGTTCTTAAAATGAGCACTTCTTTATTTTATTTGTGTAGATCTGCTTTGCATGGGGATATGTTTCTCTGTGTTTATACAATTTCAACAAACCACAGGATATGCTGTGGATATTTCTATTTAATGTTTTTATTATGTTATATTTAGTTATTTGCTTCTCTTACTTATTTTGGCTTAAAAACAGAACATAACAAAATTCAATGAAATCAGCCATAATGTATAGGAATTCTATTTCTATTTGTTACAACAAAACAAAGGATAGTCTGTGAGAGAAATATAAAGATGCCCCTTACAGTGTCAGAGTGAGAACCAAGTTTTGATAAACTCTCCTTCATTCCAGAGCAAAATAAGAATTTATCTAAGGCCTTGGTGTACCTGGATGCACTTCCAGCAAGAAGAGTCTCTACTGCTAACGAGATTTATGTTTTAGCACCAGTCATAAACTCTAAATTTCTGATGGATTAATCTACTAAAGCACACTTGTGATTATAGCACCTTTTTGATCATAAACCTTAAGCACTAACATACATAAAAGTCCTTTATCTGGTCATGATATTGCCTATGTATTTCTTTTTAAAAATATATACCCTTGAGTTACATCAATCTGGACCTTTCAAAGTTTTATATCCTAAGATTTTCCTACATCACTCTATGTAGTTTTCTTATGCTATTTCCCTCGCATAAAGTTCTTTCCTCATTATCTTCATTTAATTAAAATACAGTTCACCAATTTGAGAAAATGACATTGCTATAAGCTAAGCATTTCACGGGCTGCGCTAGGGCCAAGAGAGGTCTAAGAAGAAACCAACAGCTTCGGTAACTGTGAAGCAATGCATTTTTGTTGTTTAAGCTAACCTGTCTATGAGACTCTTGTGGGAGCTCTGCAAACTAATACAGGTACACACATTAGCTCAGTTTTAGAAGTCATTTCGTATGAGACAGCTTTAAACCTCAGTTTCCATCACACTCCACGGGGTACGAACCTGAGTTTTTCTACATTTTTCACTATCCATCTCTGGTTCTCCAGAGTTGAAAGCAGCTCTCAACTCGTGCTCTGGTTCCTGTCTTACTGATTCACTCTGCCTTTGCTTTCTTTTCTCCTGGAAGCTCCTCTGGCCTGGGTGTACCCATGACTCACTTGCTCTTTCATTCAGGTACTTGATCCACTACAATATTTTGGAAATTCTCTCCAGGAACTAAATGAAAATAACTTGATCAAAAACAGCACTCCCAGTCACTTTCCCTATTACTTACCACAGTAGGTATTTTACTTATTATCTATTATTCATTTGTGTGCACCGTGAGAATGTAGCCAATAAGATTTTTATGGGCTTTTTTCAACATTATTTTCCCATTGAGTTCCACTAGGTATTGCAAACAACTATATAATTATTTGTCCAATGGATAAATTATTTGGATATTGAATGGAGACTTGCTAAATAGTTTATCAACTCCTTTGCCAAATCCAAACAATTCTTAGGTTCAGTCCACATTGCAGTACATATTACCTCATCTGAAAGCATTAATTCTACCAGTAATTACTTACTACTCCCATTTCACTTAAGGTAAAATAAAACATCAATAGGCTTCTCTCCATTAATATTTTGCAGTAACATTTTTCTCTTTTAGGTTTTTCAAACATATTTTTATTATTAATTTAATACATTTTCCCTCCTTATGATGAAAGATTTCTGACCTAACTTTGCCTGGCCACCACTTACTCTTCTTTTTGGTATATAGCTATATTGTCATTCTTCTGCTATTGAACATCAACTCTAATCTGCTTGCTTTAAGCACTTAAAAAATTAAATCTCATAGAATCACTACCACAATAAATTGATTACACTATGTCAAGTGTCACCTTTCCAAATACAAAAATTATATCACTACACTACTGAAACACCTTATTGTTAGTGATAAGTGTTTAATTTTAATTGGTTTGTAAAGTCTTAAAAATATAGTTTCTGCTAAAATCTCCAGTATCACTATCTATTGTCAAAATATAGAGAATTTATTAAATGAAGAAAAGATAATTTATAACTTTATGTACTTATATACGAAGAAATACAAGCTGAAATTAGTGAGTTAAGTATTAACCACAGTAAATTGATGTAATAATCCAAAAGCACAATATTAAAATAGTAAAGATTAAAACAGAAATTAAATGAAGCTGAAATATATATATGGGAAAGAGAATAAAAAGTGCCATTTTTAAGAGGTCACAAATGAATATATACATATATCTGTATATACACATGGCTATGTGTATTTTATATATATATATATATATCAAAATATAACAAAAACTGCTGTGGAAAGAGATGAAAAAGCAAGAAGTATTACTGAAAAATTTAATAAGGCAGGAACACAATAGGAGATATAATCAACATTGTGAAAGTTACAGAATGTAATGAACATTTATACGTCAATGAAATCCAATATTTCAAAGGACTTCAAATTAATTAAAAATAAAACAAGTTGTATGAGTGAGGAACTAAAACATGATTTGAAATGATCTGTGTTCCCAAATACTAGTAGCTTAAAATTTTTTCAAGGATCATTCATGGAACAGAAAATTCTAGTGTTTTCCAAAGTCCTCTGGAGAACAGAAGTGAGGACTGCTTCCTAACACAAGATCAGTGTAACCCTGATAAGAGAACTAAACAAGAATTGTTTATGGTTGCTTAGTTAGGGTAAAAATTTCAGTTTGTCCATGTGTGAAATTATACCATTTAGTAAGTTCATTTTTCACTTGTAGTCCATAATCACATATACAGTTTAGTTCATAACAGACATTTTTCTAGTTGGTTTAGTGTTAGCTAATTTTATCCTTAAATTTCTCCAACTCTTCCACTAAAGTTATACTTCTTTTCCAGAAAGCATTTTCTTGTCATGTTTCATTATTTTCTTCTAATCTCAAAAATTCCAAAAGTATTCTTCAGTGTCTTTTTTTCTTCCACAACCTAGATACTTTCAAAGTAGAGTATCTACTCAAGTTACTTTTAGAAGCACTCTCAGTTGGACATACCCAACACTTTTTCATCATCAGATTAAGGTAATGAATCTTTGGGAAGGATTTAACAGTGGTACGCTCTACCACGCATGGTGGTGCATACTTGGACTCCTAGCTACAGAGGATGCAGAGACTGGAGGATTTAGAGTACAAGGCTAGGCCTGGCAAAGTTAGTGGAAAGTCCCTATCTCACAAACAAGATATGAGCAAAAGGGATGGGGCATGGCTTACGTGGTAGCATCCTTGCCTAGCATACCTGAGGTCCTGGGTTTAATTCTCAGTACCACCAAAAAAAAAAAAAAGTGTTCTCTCCACACGTTTTTACCTATAATTGAGACCTATTTTGGGGAGAATATTTTGAGCTCATGGGAACCACTGTAAGTACATACAAAGATCTTGTTTCTCCTCAAGAGTCTGCATACCAATTTTAGCATCAATCAATGATCTTGCCTGCAATAATTCATACCTTTATTAAAAACAGGGATTTTCTGTTTTTTATACTAAGCTGTACATCTATTATTTGGAATTCTGAGGGCTCAAATTGCAGTACTATCAAAAAAAAAAAACATTCCAGGTGGAATTCTTCTGTAAGGAAAAGCTGTCCCTTACTCCATATCTATTTTGTTCTATTGTTTATTATAAACAGGTTTATATGACTCTAATCCTGTTTTGTAATAGTAGTTTAGAGGAACAGCATCACCCTAGTATCCTGGAGACTTTGGCTGTATCCACATTGGCACTGTTAGCAAGACTACAATAATACCCAAGTCTTGGTGGAAATGTGAGCCTCCAACGACATGGCAAGGTAGCCAGTGTTATAAGGAACTTCACATAGCTATTTCTCCTTTGCTTCCCTGGCATCAGAGAAACTTGGGACTTTACACTTCACATTTTCTCCCATGGGTTCCATCTGCAGAATATAAAATGACTTGGATGTCCTGTGGAATTGGCTTCTCCCTGACAGAGCAGCACACCTCTCTTGTTGCCTGTCATCTAGCCATTCACTTCATTGCTGTCCTCTGGGGTTAGGGCCAGGGCCAGAATTTGAATGAGGTGCCTATGGTACAAAATTTAAGGAGACACATATTCTGAGCTCCTTGCATGATTCTTAGAGTGAGTGCCTCCTTATAAATTTTGTGTTCTAAGTGCCTTTTTTTTAACCTTACCCTTATCTTGGCCTTTCTAGAGAGCTGGGGAATTGAAACCCTGTGGTCAATGTAAGTAGGAAACTATAAAAACATTTTGATTAGTTCTACGCTGAGTAAGTATTAACTGAAAATATAATTCTATCCTTAGCATGTGAATCTATAGAAATATGGTAAGCCAACATAGCCTATCTTGTGTTATTGCTGCTTTGCACTAGTGTTACATATCCTTTATGCAAACTACTATCATCGGTACAAAATAAAATAAACCGGGACCTATTAGTTATATAATCAACTTTAGTTCTTAAGAAAACTTTAGTCATGAAGGTTTCATTTCCCTATACAAAGTATGAAATAGCTAAGTGAGTCACTAAGTATTCCTTGATACAAGCTGCATGGAGTCAGACTGTTAACACTGGGAAGCTCTACTGCTGGGAGAGAAAATGGGTGAGCCAAGGTTGGTTCAGGAACCATTATTCCCACAGCCTGGCAAGGCTGAGTTCCAGGAAGGGACGGCAATCAGTGTCACAACTCCACACAGGTTTATAATAAAGGTCACATTACACATTACTGTCAGTTTAACTCAAGGACAGTCACTCTATTTATTTG